CCTCGAGCTCCTTTCCACTTGGGCCGCCAAGGCATGGATGGAAGAATTCACCTACCAAAAGGAAAAATAACAAATGATCAAAAGAACGATAGCAAGAAAGATAAAAGCAAAGAGCCCGACAAGAAATCGATGACTTACCACCATGGCATGAGTGCCAGCACGACAAGCTACCTGGTTCAAAGGAAGCTCGGTCCATGCCGCGACCTCCTCGGGGTAAATGGCCTCCCTACTCTTCTAAAGAGCATGGTTCGACGACAACACGCTCCTAAACTCGCCTTGGGCTCCCGAGCCTGAAGGCCCAGCTCGTGTATAAGCAGACTCAGAGTAAGCGGGAGCACCCGTGTAAGTAGCCTCGACATAAGGGGCCCCTGCCGCTTCTTGTACTGGAGGGGCCATCTCGGGCTCCCTGGGCGGATCCACTGACGGGTAGTCCGGTACCTCGGGCTCCGTATCTCGGGGCAGCTCGGTACGAGTTTGTTTGGCGACTTGCTTCCTCCTCTTCATGGCGTGAAACAGGTTCCCTCCACGAGTCTTCTCTGAGTCCATCACACCTGCAAAAAGAGCTCGGCATCAAGAAAACGAAAGAACAGAGCAAAACAAAAGGTAAGCCTCTGAGTAAGGAACCTACCCAAACTCAGACCAGCCTCGATGAGCTTGGCCTCCGTCAGATAATGGTGGCATTTTAGCCCAAGTCGTGCCCATTCCCGAACGCCCTTCGCCGTCTCCCTATCAAGTGTAACACCGGCATCAGGGGCAGTCATCCCCCACCCGATTTGGAACGGCCACCCCAATGCACTTCGCACCCCAAAGTAGTCCCGTTTCCACGGCGGGACCTTGTTGGGAAGATGGTGTAAAATCTTAAACCCCGGGCAAAGAGACAGGTAATATGCCCACCTACGCCCGGGAAGGGGACCCGTTTGCTTCTTAAGCATTAGAATGGAAGAAAAGATCTCCAGGTTTAAGGGCAAGATCTGTTCGCAAAATAGGGAGATTGTCCCCACCAAGTTACGAATAGAATTCGGGTGAAGTTGGCCGACAGTAACGCCGAAGTAGTTCATAACCTCGACAACGAGGGGGTGGAAAGGCAGGCGCAACCTAGCAACGAGCTGCTCCCGGAATATTACGATCTCATCAGGACCGTGTTCCCAAGGGAAACTGCCCGAGGGTATAAAATTTGTGTACTCCCTAGGCAAGTTGAACTGGGTAATAAGGGAGTGAAGCCCCTCAGGCGTCATGGTCGAGGGCCCAAACTTGTCTAACGTCCAACCTCGACGGGAGGAGGACGCCAAACTACCCGAGGTGACTTGACCTATGGGTTCGAACTCTTCCTCGAGCTCTACCTCGGGTTCACTAGGGCTGTCGGGGGATGCAGCTCGGTTCGTAAAACCTGCATCTGACCCCCTTGAAGAACTGTCTAAGCTATCTGAGCTAGACATCGGGAGGAGAAGGATTCCAGGAAAGTACTCACCCGGAAAAAGCAAACGGACTACGGGAACTTGAACGCGAGTTAAAGACTTGGACGCGAGCTCAAGAAGCAAAACGCAGGAGAATGACAACGACTAGGATCCCCCACTATTTATACCCAAAGTAACCAAAAATCAACGGTTCTGATCAAAGCAAATCCAACGGCCCGCAGTCACGCTAACCGCACGTCTCCTAAGACCGAGACGTGACTGGCCACACGTCTTTTGAAACTGAAAGAGCGCCAGCGCACGTCTCCTCGTATTAAAGGCAGTAGCGGCGCGTTTTTTCAAATTTGAAAAGACACCCGCTGTCACGTCTCCCAGTGGCGCGTTTTTTAAAATTTTGAAATAAACGCGCGCTGTCACGTCTGTCAGCATTTATAGACGGAATGGTGCGTTTCCTGACTTTTTTGGCACTCGAGAAACCCGGAAAAATCCTGGCGAATGCACACTTTGCGCTATCAGTCAAACCTGTTCGAAGTATGGGTCAAATCCACCCGCCACCTCGCGAACTCCCCGTGCCAAGGCAAGTCCCTTTGCGCGAGGAGTGGGGGCAATTGATGAAGGAAGATTTGGCCCGACCTTGTAAACACTCAACACGTGGAAAGGCAGCAACTCGGCACAACAGTACGCCCGAGGCGCGAGCTTCGAAAAGAGGAACCCGCGGTCCAAACTCCCCACAAGGAGTCTGAGCTCTCCCTTGGACCCCGAGCCTTATAAACACAAAGGGAAACAACCCGAACTGGCCCGCCCCATGGCAGTTCGGGCCACATCTCTATCCGAACTCAAGACTTCACCTCGCACACCACTCTAGCACTTCGCCTCCAGGACACCGAACTGAACAACCGCACCGTACCTGACACCGAAGGAGTCCGTATCTAGGGGCGGCGCACCTGACTGACTTGGGATCTGACGCTTGACAGCCGCATTTCAACGGCCACCTACCACCGCCACCTGCCACCGCCATCTCCAGTTATAGAGATGGCTCCGACAAAGAGGGCAGTGGCGGTTCTGCCCCAACAGAGGTGATGACACCCGAACTGGTAGAAGCGCAGAGGTAATCATACCCGACCTGATAGAAGCTTAGGAGTGAGTGCGCGAAGTGGTTATAAAAGGCTCTCTACCCCCCAAGAACGAGGTATGTGATAACTTTGCGCCATCTGATTTTATCTTGCCTTCGAGGAAATACTAACTTGAGCTTCGGAGCATTTTCACCGGGTTCTTCCCCGGAGATTACTCGCTTTCTCCTCCGTTTCAGGCACCTTCTGCTCCAGCCCGAGGCAAGATCGTTGACCGCTAGGACCTGCCGGATTGCGCACCATCACTTATTTTAAGGATTTTTCTCCTAAATGATTAAAAACTTAGTGTTCATAGGGGCACTTTAACTAAAAAGGGAGAAAAATCCTTAAAAAAAGAATACCAAATGCAGCCTTAGTAGTCAAAGCCCTTTTTTTTCCAATATAATGTCTTATGTGATCATAGATTTTTGCACTAATAAATTAAATGCCCGTTTGGCAAGTCTTTTCTAAAAGATCTGATAGTTAAAAGATAGGGTGAGATTTTGCAAATAGATTTTAGAAAACCAAATACTATTTGGTTGAATATTTTTCATAGATCTCTCGAAAGACCATATAAAGCTAGAAAACTGTTTGGTAATGTGATGAAAATATGTGTCTTATATATATATGAATGTCTTGTGTGTGGGCCAACAACCCTTTCATTTAACACATGCGACCCACATACATTTTCTAAGGTATGCCCCACATACTATTGGTGGACATGTATATGGGGTCCACATACATTTTATAAGGTGGGCTTGACATACCATTAGTGGTCATGCATGTGGGGCCCAATTATATTTTTCAAGGTGGGCCCCACATACCATTGGTGGACATGTATGTGGGGCCCATTTACATTTTACAAGGTGGGCTCGACATACCATTGGTGGACATACATGTGGGGTTTGTGTAGATATGTGTGGGGACAACATGCATTTTTCAAGGTGGGCCTCACATACCATTAGTGGATATATATGTGGGGTCCATGTGGGCCCACATACATTTTACAAGGTGGGCCCCACATGCCATTGGTGGACATGTATGTGAGTCTCTCATACATTTTTCAAGGTGGGCCCCACATAAATACCTAATGTGGGCCCTACATATATTTTCTAAAGTGGTCAGCACATACCATTGGTAGGTCCCATTTATACATTTAAATAGTTTTTTATGGAAAGATAACCCATTTTCTTCCAAACGTATGCATTATGCCATACGTTTGAAGAAGACCGGGTGCTAAAAGATTATAAAAACTTCATTTGAAACTTTCTGAAAATGTCCAAATTCAGATTGTTGACATCTTTTTATGGGTTGGAACTTTTTCCCAATTGATCTTTCTATTATCAAACAAAAAAAACCCAAAATTCAGGATTATGAGCTTCTAAACAGCTCGAAACCCACGCGGAAAGACTCGCCAAACGCGGCATCTTCTTTAAAATCATCTAAACCTTATATGGGATCCGCTACAAGTTCCTGAATCTTTATATAATCAAGATAATTTAGGATCCATCATAACTCATAAGAGTTTGCCAAATTAAAAAAAAAAAAAAAAGAAAACTTTTTCCCGTGTATGCCTTGCGGTATTTCGGTGTGGTAGTCGAATTATGATGCCAAAGGACATAATACCGGAAACACTGAGATCCAATCAACCGGCATCATAAGAGTGATAACCAATCAGTTGGGTTTTCATCAAAACTTACGGAGTTTTCATTGGTAAAGAATTTCCGGTACTATATCTGTTCGGCATCTTAATAGTGGTAAAATTTGTGGGCCAATAACCTACCCAGATCGCCCGATATTTCTGGGTTTCACGGATCCCCATTCGTTCCATTCCAGGACGCCCAGCCCACGTTCCATTTCAGGCTTTGCCCCATATTCTCTGGTGGGATGGGCCCATCCAGACAAAGTTCCCATGATTCATCCACTCCTTCTGTTCCTCTGCTCCCCCATCCCGATTCTCTTCTCCTACAATGCTCCACACTCCATCAGACCGTTTTGTTCGGTCCTCTGTTCCCACCTTCAAACTGTCCTCCTCTCAGACTCTGGTCGTTACTCTACAGTTCTACAGTTCAAATGCGTCGCAACTTATAACTTTACGACGACTATACTGTACTACGCCTGCATGAGAGTTCAAATCATCTTCTGCTACGGTCCCACATTTAGATCCAAATCAACGGTCAGCAATAGACATGAACCAGGAGTTGAACGGTGATATTTGATCGGTAAATTGATAAATGAAGTTCTGACTTCTAACTTCTCACCGCCGGTTGTTTCTTTCTACCTAACTAATTAACTACCAGTTCGCACCATTAAGGAGTGGGGATCAAACGAGCGCGCTCTCACCGGATGTCTACGTGTAAAATAACCATTGGTTAGAAAATGGAAAAATTCACAATATTTTCCCACACATCACTACTCAGTGAGAGCGCGCTTCTAGAATTAACACTCTTTATTAATTGCTTTAGACCCGAGAGTCAGAGACGGTTGACAGCCACACCATTTAGCATTTCAGTTATTAAATTTCGCCGCCGTTACTACTCCGTTATCTTGCCGTGGGCTTCAACAGTAATCAATTTCTCCATTCTATGATATAAGGCAATACCCCAACTAACGGAGCTCCTGCGAGGCTGCGACAGAAGCAGAAACTCGTTCTCTTTCTCTGCAAGTACATGGAGGTTGAAACCTGAAAAGATTCCGGGAAACGGAAGGCTGGGTTCTGTAATGGAGTTCTTCTGCAAGGTTTCGCTCGTTCTGTCTCTTATTGTTTTCGTGGAATCTAGTTGTAATACTACAGACCGGGAGTTAATCTCCCGAGCCTTTCACTCCGTCGCCGGATTTGACTTGTCGCTTTTCGAATCTGGAGATGGGAACTGCTCGAATCCTCCAATTAGAGAAATAAAGCTTCCGGGAAGAAATCTGAGCGGACTCGTTTCATGGAATTTTCTTCGAAATCTATCCGAGTTACAGTATATGGATCTATCCTATAATAAACTACAAGGGACTGTTCCAGGTTGGTTCTGGTCGATGCCGAGCCTCGTCGAAGTCAATCTCGCCATGAATCGTCTTGGAGGAAATGTTGGTCTCCGCCCCACCTCGAAAACCAGTTCGGTTTCGTCGTTGTCGTCGGTTCAGAAGCTCAATCTCTCGCACAACAGGTTCACCAACTTGGTCCATCTGTTGGGATTCTCGAACCTCAAAGTACTCGACCTCTCGCACAACGATCTGAGAGTTTTGCCTTCTGGGATGGAGAACCTTACGAAGCTCGAACAACTCGACCTCTCAAGTTGCAACATTTCAGGGAGTTTGGAACCCATCGCCAATCTTCGCTCGCTGCAGTACCTTGACATTTCCAACAACGTCATGAACGGAAGCTTCCCATCTGATTTTCCTGCACTTAAGTTCTTGAACGTCTCTGTAAACAACTTCACCGGAATGATTGGCTCAGACAAGTTGAAGAAATTCGGTAAGTCTGCGTTCATTCAAGCCGGGAAGTTTAATACTTCAGAAACTTCAAAACTCCCAATTCCAGCACGTTCCCATTCCAGAGCTCCATCTCCCAAACTCCCACAGAAACAGAAACCTACCAGAACCAAACACATCAAACACAATAAACCAAAATCAAGATCCAGAGCTCTGGTTCTGGGCTTAGCAGTTCCAGCTTCAGTGGTTGGTCTCGCCATGGCTGTTTGCATAGTTTGCGTGCACAGAAGGAGACAGACAGCCAAGAGGAAGAAGTGGGCGATCTCAAAACCGGCCCAGTTCCCGTTGTTCAAGATGGAAAAATCGGGGCCGTTCTCCTTCGAGACTGACTCGGGGACATGGGTGGCGGACATTAAAGAACCGTCCTCGGCACCGGTGGTGATGTTCGAGAAGCCGTTGATGAACCTCACGTTCACGGATCTGATTGCGGCCACGTCCCACTTCGGCAAGGAATCACAGTTGGCGGAGGGGAGAAGTGGGCCCGTTTACACAGCAGTTCTTCCCGGAGACGTCCACGTGGCAATCAAGGTCTTGGAGAAAGCGAGAGACGTGGGCCGCGATGATGCAATTGCACTATTCGAAGAACTATCTCGCCTTAAGCACCCCAACCTCTTGCCCCTCGCCGGTTACTGCATCGCAGGTACGTATCTTAATTCCTATCTGTTGTCCCTCGGTCTCTCATTAAATGGTTTCACGGGTTCCAACTTCCAACACCGTCGATATCGTACGACCACTCTTTGTGACCATGCAGGGAAAGAGAAATTGGTGCTGCACGAATTCATGGCGAACGGTGATTTGCACCGGTGGCTGCACGAGCTTCCGACGGGACTAACCAACGTGGAAGACTGGAGCATGGACACGTGGGAACATCAGAACGACGGAGTAAATGGGTACGATATTACATCTCCCGAGAAGATGGGCTGGCGGACGCGCCACCGGATCGCCGTAGGTATCGCACGAGKGCTCGCGTACCTGCACCACGCCGGCTCCAAGCCGGTAGTCCACGGCCATCTCGTCCCGGCGAATGTTCTCCTGGCCGACGACTTCGAACCGCGGATCGCGGATTTCGGGCTCCGAGGGAACGAAGAGAACGTGAGCACGGAAACGGATGTGTACAGCTTCGGAGTGATGTTGATGGAACTCCTGACTGGGAAGCCTGGGACGGAGGAGACGGTGAGTTGGGTTCGAGGATTGGTGAGGGAGAGACAGGGAGATAAGGCGTTGGACCCGAGGTTGAGAATCGGGGATGACTCAGTGAGTGAAATGGTGGAGAGTCTCCGAGTGGGGTACTTGTGCACGGCCGAGTCGGGCAAGAAAAGACCCACGATGCAACAAGTCGTCGGTTTGCTGAAGGACATACATCCGTCGACGGATTTGGGTTGAGTTGACGCGCCGTCCCTGTCGGCATCTTCCGATTTCCAAAGAATCCAACCATCGCGCGCGCTCTCTCTCTCTCGTTTTGTTGTTTCTTGTTAAATATTTTTAATATTTTTGTAATATAAAATACCCCGAAAAGAAAAAGGTAGAAAAGGATGAGTGGTGTGATGTACGTCATTTTGGGTCAAGCAGACGAGAGAATCTCTACCATTTGCTTATCTCTGATGTCAGAAAGGGCATATGAGCCCACTACTTATTTTTTTCTTTGATTGATTAATTACTTTTATTTTACCAAAAGAAAGAAAGTGAAAAAAGAGAAAGTAGTCTATGGTACCAGGAGCATCGGAGGTAGTGGCCCCTACGACCCTACAGGAAAAGTGTTGAGTCAGCTGCCACTTGATTGGTGGACCATGCATTTATTTTCCAAGATTGACTGAAGATATGCTGCACTGAGAAATGAACGGCAGTGATCCCACTGTGATGGGTCCAACTACAGTTTCTTTTGCAAATGATATAGCTGGTCTTTTAGGGCCAGTGGGCCATTAGACTTGCTTTCTCAATGGGCTGGCTGACGGTAATTGAGGCTCAAACGTGGAGTCAGCTCACGCATGGTCTTCGAGTCAGCAGGGTGGTTTTCACAGAAATTGACAGTTACAAAATATTCTTTGGCCATGGGATACACGTGTTATGCACGAGAGAGAGAGAGAGTAGTGACTCTCTTTCGGTGCTGAAGGCTGCTGAAGCCTGAAGGTTTTGGTTCTTGTTAGTTTGTTCAGAGGAAGAGAATAAGAGAATAGAGAATGAGAGGGACAGGACTAGAGAGAGGAATAGGAAGAGGATAGAAGCAAACTGGGCCTGCTGATGTGGTGCATCGTGAATTGTGAATGGGCCCAGCTTTACGCCCACGGATTTTGATGAGTGAGAAACAGGAAGAGGACAGAGCCCCGTTAAAATATTCCAGGCCCAGGGTTCCAATACACGCTTTGTCTGTTAAGGTAAGAAAATCTAAGGTGAATGGAATCTAAATACTAAATGGTCCATTGTTTGAGTGCGGACTGGCCCATGTGGAGGACAATGTCTGAAACTCTGAATATTGGTTGGGCTCGAATGGAGTGGATGGATCCACCTGAAATGTGAGAAAATCTAACAGTGGACTGGACACAAAAGCAATTATATTCTAGGTTCTACTCTCCACTCTCCACAATCTGAATGCAGTAAAATTCGGGATCATGGACTGCATTCATGAAGTGAGCAAATCAATCAAACAAATCTAAGGCAAAGTGGACTCAGAAGTCAGAACCCGCCCACTATGGATTGAAAGCCCAAACCCATTAATTACTTTCCTGTCAAAAAGAAATAGTAAATCATAAATGATGGTTTCAACTTTCAACAATCAACCATTGAGAACTTAAAATCAAGGGCATCAGAGGGACTGGTGTGGGCTTCATTATTTGTTGGGCCATGTGCCCATGTACTTGTTCACCACCTCAACAGCCTGTACCCGAATCCCACTTACCTTCTATTTATTTATTTTCCATTATTGTTTAATAATGTATGCTCTTTCTATAACTGAAATACTAGTTAATATGACCCGTACTCATTACGGAAAAATAAAGTGCTTATTTTTGTTAGGTACCCACTATAGTATAAAGAGGAGTAAGTGGGTTAGTATTGAAGCATTAATTTGACTTAATTTGTATTTAAAAAACAAGGGAAATTTAGAGTTTAGTACACAAACTTTTATAAGTTTTTGTGGGTTTTATTTACCAACACCTCCATTAGGAGAATTACCCCTTGATTCATTCCCTCAATTCTTATGCTTCATTAGACCTGTTGATGGGCCGGGCTCGGCCTCCAGATGGGCTTGAACATGTAAATGGGCCTGTGGGTTTAACCTCGGGCCAAAAAGTCCGGCCTACAATAAATTCGAGCCGGGCTCAGGATTTGCCAGAATAGTTCGGTCCGAGCCTAGCCCGACCCGACCTATAGACTAAACTTAAAAACCTTAAGTCGAACCTCTCTTCTCTTTCACCTCTTTCCTCTTAGCCAAATCTCTCTTCTCTTCACATCCTCCTCAGTCCTCAACACTCTCAAGCAGCCACACAAGTGGCGAGGCGGCGAACATTCATCGGCGCACACAACTCCGGCAGTGAGTCCTCTCCTTCTCTCTCTCTCTCTCTCTCTCTCTCTCTCTCTCTCATAGTCTCGTTCCTCTTCTCACTTCTCTTTCAAATCTCAGACACCGGCGAGGCGGCGAATATAGGCACTAGCGGCGGCAGTGAGTTCTCTCTCTCTCTCTCTCAGACGCGAATTGACACACTTTTCACTGTTAAAATCGTAGCTCACCACGAACTTAGCTCCGACGAACACAGTCACCGACGATGAGTAAAAGCCTAGGCTCGGGTTTCGAGCTTTTTATTAGGCTGGACTTGGGCCCAAATTGTAAACCCGTTGGTCGGACCGAGCTCGGACTCAGGCCTAACAAATTTCTATTCATAAAAAGTAAAAGCCCGGTCCGAGCCCGGCCCAACCCATGAACAGGTCTATGCTTCATACACTTAGTACACTTAATAAGGTTGCAACCAAATACAGATACTTCACTAAATAATCTTCATCCTTCTTTAACAAAAAGCATCCCACGACAAGATGATATTTCTTTCATGAAAGCCTAAATACCCATATGGACAAGTACATGGATACAAGAAATGAATATACAATTCTTTCATGTGTTAGAGAACAAAAGTCTATTTAAAAATCACATTTAAAAATTTAAGCTTTTAGATCGATATGAGATTTATTTGATCAAATGGTATAGTGTTTGATTCTTGTCCGCTCCATTATAATCAATTAAATGTCAGCACAAAGTATGAGTAGGTTTGTACTTGTCCACACTTTATGAGGGGGTGTATTAAAAGGAATAAAAAAACTATTCAGGACCGCACCTAACAGCTTAACACACTGGCCCTTCAATTCTTAAAATTTTCTAATGTCTTGTCAAATTTAATTGAATTTCTAACATGTGAAATTATTTTCATAATATATTTTGTTATATATATATATATATATATAATCTTACATAGGACATCAAGAAGTATCCATGCAATATCCAGAGTATCATATTTGGCAAGTATTATATCCAGTATGCTAAGGCTGTGCAGTAGAATGGTCGTCTTGACATGAAGCCAAGCAATGTATTGGCAATATAAAACCAAGATTTGTCTTAACTTTCAAACAACTCCACAAGATAAACTTTTTTAAGGTTTGGTGGCCTAGTACAAGGTGAATCTTCTCTCTCTGGTCAGGTTAAGTGAAGAACTTTCCTACAAGACTTATATCTTAATCATATGTGCTTCCCTCTGCCTTAGCTTTGACAATATGAGGAACAGTTGTACATCTCCTGAGAGTGCTTCCCTCTGCTTGCATTAGTCACCGTTTCAATTTAGATTCAGGGGAAGCAATTGTAATTTCTCCAGTTGTCATCTCCAACCTTCAAACTATGCCTACTCCCCAGTCCAATACATCATAGTTATGGCCCTATTAAAGGGAGTTTCCTTATGCGAACCAGCATGAAGGTAGGGATGCAACCTGGGAGGGCTGAGGTTGGGATTTTGTTAAAATTTGAATCGGCACAAGTTTGATGCAGTGTAAAATCTTCAGATAGGGACCCATTAAATTTGCCACTTGTCTAATCCCACAATGAAATATCATTTATATGTGCCATCTTGTATTGGTGTTTTTAACGCCTTACTAGCTTTTCATAGTTTTAGTTTTTTTAAATCCAAAAATTTTTCCATAAAAATATACTTATTTTGCATGTGTGGATCATTGGATCTTCTTGTCAGGTTGTTTAGTCTCTCAATGACAATTCCAAGTGGCAAAATTTTAATTTCTCAATACAATGCTTACCTACAAAAGTGGGTTTATGAGGGATGCAACTTTAGTGGGTTAGGGTTGAAATTTTGTCAAAATTTCAATGGATTTAACCCGAAGCCTGAGCTCAAAACAGTTTAAACTATTAATTCAGGCCAACCCAAATTGCACCTCTATCGCTTATCTTATATGACCCCAATAATAAATCTACCTATGCATTTACACATGATTATGTTTGGTTTGAAGGAAAAAGTAGAGAAAAGAAGGGAAAGACAGGGAAACCAATAAAAGGTCTGTAAAAGTTTCCTACCTTTTCCTTCTTTTCCTTACATTTTCCTTCAAACCAAAATTAGACTCTTTCTTTGAAAAAAAATGAAATAATCAGACTTTGTTTAAACTTTAGACTGTGAGAAACAAAATTGAGCCAAAAAAATGTTTTAAATATTTGATAAGAATTGCTTTCAAAAGTATTAATATCAGAAGCCAAAAAAACTTTTAAGTCCCAAAACAGTCTAAAATTAAAGCTTTAAATGCAAATATATCTAAATATTTTTCCCCAAATTCAACTTGAAATGGTAGCTCATATCATTTGAATATAGATAAAATCTATTTTAGTCGTCTAAAATCTGAATCAAACAATGAAACCCAGATGGCCAGTTCAAAGGCTCTATATGGATATCGGGTCTTAAGGGAAACATGCTTAAATGTGGGTCCCGTTCTTTTAAATCTAAATGTTATTTTTTAATCACAAATAGAACCTAATTTATTCCCCAAAATCAAATAAAATAAAACCAGCCAAGATGCTTCAAGACTTTGGCATGTGAGTAGTACTGGATAGAAAACAAAATGCATCCATGTCTATAATTGCCCCGTATCAAGGACGGGTCCATCTCCAAGATCCGATGTCAAATGCAACAACCAAACTCTAGTTGAAATGGGCCCACCTATTACTCCATCACACATCCATCTAATTTTTAAACCATTCATCATTGATGGTATCTTACTCAACATTCTTGACTAGTCATTTTTCTTCTTATTCTCATTAATTGTTCCTTGTACTGATATTCTCCAAGGTAATTTCATCACCTCCTTCGTTGTTGGGCCACCCTGGCCCACTGGTAGAGACAAAGTTTGAATTGAAAATTATAATTAGGTAACGTCATGATTAGGGATATCAATGGATTAGGTTTTTCACAGGCTTTGCTTAACCCGAATCAGAGCCAAAGTAAGCTTAACCCGACCCAACCCAACTTAGATAATTGAGCCACAAAGAAGCAGTGATGCGTCCAGTCCAGGCCCCAGGGCCCATCACTTTGTCAAACTTTACATGTTTTTTTTTTTCAAGGTA